TCCTGGAAGCATATGTGCAATCATCTTTTTATACTCAGCAATTGTATATACCGTTATAGGGTGGGGCTCTCAACTGTTTCCAAGCTGTGACTAAGAAACTAGGTCCCTAGGGGTTCGGTCAGACCCCAGGGTCTATTCTGATATCATGACTGCATTTGTCTCTTTATGCCCAGCATTTGTGTATATAGTTTTGGGGTGGGGATCTTAACCATTTCGAAGTTATGACCCAGGGGTTGAGTCTCCAAGGGTGGGGCAGTCCCCAAGGCCTCCTGGAAGCATATGTGCAATCATCTTTTTATACTCAGCAATTGTATATATGGTTATAGGGTGGGGCTCTCAACTGTTTCCAAGCTGTGACTAAGAATCTAGGTCCCTAGGGGTTCGGTCAGACCCCAGGGTCTATTCTGATATCATGACTGCATTCGTCTCTTTATGCCCAGCATTTGTGTATATAGTTTTGGGGTGGGGATCTCAACAGTTAAAGTTATGGCCCAGGGACTATGTCTCCAAGGGTGGGGCCAGACCCTAGAGCCATCCTGGAAGCAAATGTGCATTCTTCTCTTTATACTCAGCAATTGTATACCATGGTTATATGGTGGGAATCTCAACCATTTCAAAGTAATACACTTTTTTTGGCCCCACCCCTTAGCTCCGGGGGTCAGCCACACCATTTGTACAATTTTGAATCCCTGCCTCCAATGAATGCTTCCAACCAAAAATGATCAATACCCATGGCATAGTTCTACAGAAGAAGTTGTTTATAGCAATATAGCCAAATTGCTCCCTTTTGGCCCCGCCCTCAGCCCCACCATTTGTACAATTTTGAATCCCCACCACCTAGGGATGTTTCCAGTCAAATATGGTTGATATCCATCTCTTAGTTCCAGAGAAGAAGACGCTTAAAGCAATATAGCCAAATAACCCTTTTTGGCCCTGCCCCTCTCCCCCTGGAGGGTCAGCCACACCATTTGTACAATTTTGAATTCCTGCCTCCCATGAATGTTTTTGATCAAATATGATCGATATCCACTTTTTAGTTCCAGAGAAGAAGTCGCTTAAAGCAATATAGCCAAATTGAACCCTTTTGGCCCTGCCCCTCAGCCCCTGGGGGGTCAGCCCCATCATTTGTACAATTTTGAATGCCCACCACCTAGGGATGCTTCTAGTCAAATTTAGTTGAATTCCAATTCCAATTCTTTTAAAAAGAAGAAGTCGTTTAAAGAAATTGTTGACGTACGTACGTCCGGATGTACGGACGACGGACGCAACGGTATGGCATAAGCTCAACCTGGTCCTTCGGACCAGGTGAGCTAATAATATTGATGTACAAAAAAGATAAGTAGACGTATTTTTCCAGCAGTTTCAGCCTCGTTATCCAAGTGTTCGCTTCGTATACACTCCACTTATTGCACTTTGAATGTGTGTAGTTAATCACAGAAGGCAATGAATCCCCCAAATGGTTAAGTGGAGTGTATACGAAGCGAACACTTGGCTAGCGAAGATGCCCATAAATGTACCTGTGCAATTTACTTTTTTTTTTTTTACAGTAGGCGTTGAGCAGTAAACTTTTACAAATTCTTAGAAATCACTGTTATTCATGAACCTTTTAATTATCATGTTATCTATCTTCTACCACCAGGTGTTATTTGATACTGTTAACTTGGATATAGGGCTACGTTTCATTTCAGTGCGGTCCTGCTATTCAGCAGCAGTTAATTACTGCATCATATAAATCAAATCACTTCAAGGCTTGGCTATGTTTCATTTCAATTTCAGTTTTACTTAGCTTATGATGCTCCAGGACTGTGTTCCTATTTAACTTATTCACCCCTGAAGACACATTTGAACTCTTCCAATTCAAAGGTTGGAATAGTTCACTATGAAATTGGAATAGTTCACTATGAAGTTCAGGGGTTAATGAATTAAAACAGTCCTACACATGTTATAGTGTTATATACTTTCTTAAATTGAAATAAGATCTGCATGCTATAAAAAATAAAGGAGAAAATCTCCGGACAAAAAATCAAATAATGAAATGAACAAAGAGCAATAACTTTTGCAAAAATCATTGAATCAAAATTCTTTTAAGGGAAACACAACTTCATATCATGATCATAAATTTAACTCCAATTGGTAGAATCCATATTATTAAATCACTTCTCGTTTCACAATTCAACCATCTATTTATAGCACTGCCAAATCCTGATGAACATTTTCTTTCAAAACTTAATTCTATTATTTTTGAATTTTTGTGGAACAGCAAAACAGACAAAGTCAAAAGAGAAGTTATCATCCAAGAATACCTTAACGGTGGCTTTAAAATGATTAATTTAAAAGCATTTATAGATTCATTAAAATTATCTTGGATCAGAAGTTTTTTTCAGACCACAGCTAAATGGCAAGTTATTTTAAAAAGTTATGTTAACATAGATCTACTAGCCAACTGTGGCAATGATTTTGTGCAAAAATGTCTAAAAGAGTATAGAAATTCTTTCTGGGTTGATGTTTTTAAAGCTTGGTACCGTTTGAATTTATTAATTGAAAAATATAGTCTTATGAAGGATTCTATATTGAAAACACCATTATGGTTTAAGGTGGCTCCACACTTTCGCAATTAACCAGCAAAATTCGTTGAAATTTTCATATAATGGTTATGCAACTATGTAGAGTTAATTTTATGAAAATCTAAACATTCCGATAGTTTGGGGAATTTTTTGGAAAAAATACCAAAAAATTGAATTTTCGCCACTTTTAATATTTTCCGGTTTTTTTGTGTGTGGCATTGTTCGGAACAATAAAAACAATAAAAAAATGAAAAGAAGCATTTATAATTAATCCTACAAATATTTTATTTATCGCAAAATATGTAACACATGTTACACAAAGTGTTTTTTATTGAATTTGAACGGATAAAAGTGATTATCTACAAGCTAAAAGCAAACAGGACACACA